AATAATAAGAAAATTTTCAGATCATTAAGTTTAAGTGCTGCATAATATAGTTAGCTAAAAATCATTGCAATATCTTTAAAAAAACTTACTTGCCACACATAGTATTGAAAACCTGAATAATGTGAGTACAATTACTGCATGAACCAAAAAACAACAATATTTAAAAAGTAAAAAAAAAGGAGAAGTTATAGTATAAATACAAAAAGTTGAGATATCTCATAAAATGCCTTTTTATGAACTTTTAATAGAAACATTATACTTGCCAACATTCCATATACTTTTTCTTTGTAAATCAAGAATGCTAAATCTATGACATGACTCTTTTTTTTTTTTTTTATTTGCATTCACTCCCAACAAGGCTGCAAGCAACCACTATTAAGTTGGGAGTTACTAGGAAAAAAAAGAACACAGTTATAAAGCAAGGAAACGGTTGACAGAAGACTTGAAAAGTTGAAGGTTGTATGAGTCAGGAAAACATGAAGATGGGAGAGAGTCCAAAGGATTGAAGTGCGGGGAAAAAAACTAGATTTTATTATACTTTATATTAGTATTATAGAGTTTAATTTTATTGACAATAAAATTAAACTCAACCAAATTTCTTTATATAATTAAATAATATTTAGTTCATTTAACTTAAAGTATAGTAAATGTTTTAATATAAAAATATTTTTTAAACTCAACCAAATTTCTTCTAACAGTTCTTTTAACTTAAAGTATAGTAAATGTTTTAATATAAAAATATTTAACGTTTATTTATTAACGTTTTTTATTATTTAGTGTCTGGACTAACTTGTTCATTAATTAATTTATACCGGCTGTCATAGATATTGCCTGGCGCTTTATCTCAACAGCATTAATTAATAATAATAATAATAATAATAATAATAATAATAATAATAATAATAATAATAATAATAATAATAATAATAATAATAATAATAATAATTAAATAATTGATTTGAAAAAGCTCATATTTTCAGAATACAAAACTCTCGTTAAAACGCAGGTGCATTTTCAAGGTTTTCTTGGTAAGCGAAATATACTATGACTCAAAATGAGGTTTTGATTTTTTAAAAAACGAAGACCAGATATTTTACTGATTTGAAGAAAAATGTAGGAGAGTGCTGCTACATCGATTGAACTATACCTGTCTTAACCCAAACCTTCAGTTGATGTAGCAGCATTCCCTTGCATGTTTTCCCTAAGTTAGTCAATGTAGAAGCACTCTCCTGCATTTCTACCCAATTCAGTAATATATTTGGTCTTCGTATTTTGAAAAATCAAAACATCATTTTGAGTCATAGTACCTTTCGCACACCGGTTTTCCTCGTTTGAACGTTTGTTTATAGTTTTTAGTTGGTTCAAAATTTACTTTTACCAAAAAGGGCGAAATTCAAATTATGTCAATAAATTTAAATTTAATTTTGGACCGTTAAAAATTTTACTACAGTAAATACCCTCATATTTGAGCAGGGGGTAAGCGTTTTAGAGCTATTTGTTGACAGCTCTCCGCCATACCAATTTTTTACAAGGTCTTCTCATTTGACATAGATATAAACATACTTTTTGTATGTTTATACCTATGTCAAATAAGAAGACCTTGTAAGTTTGGAGTTTGCACAATGTGTGAAATTGTCCTATCTGAAACATCAAAAAATCCTACAGGCGCCCATACCACCCCTTATATACTGGCCCTGAGTATACTAAGGGCCAGTATATAAGGAGTGGCATGTGTGCATGCATTTTCAAAAAATAGGTTGCCTATTTTTTGAGTCAACAAAAAACAGATTTCAGCAGTACAATGGCTAATAGGTCGGAGATATCCCCTCCCTTAAAAATAAAAAAAACGTGTCATTAGAATCTCAAAATCTTCCAAATTTTACCGCTAGGTTTTTCTAAAATAATATAGCAAAAGGGCATAAAATTTACTGCTCCCCCACAAGACCTCACCGCCTCTAATTACGGGGTATGCTACACTTAGCACTGAGTTTTAAGCATTGTTTTCATTTTTACTCTTCTCGCGTGACTCGCTTTTTACGGACTTACTAAGGGGTGCCTGAAAAAAACGTCTGCCTTAAGTATAGTTCATTTTTATTTGATGCGTCTCAATAAACAGAAAAAGTAAAGTAAGTCTTCACTGGGAATCGAACTCGGATACCCGCTATCAATGCCCATATCATCATCCACTCAGCCAAGCTATGTTTCAATTATGCATTTTTTTTTCAATACAAAAATTTTTTGAGAAAAAAAAGGTGGAGGAGGTACCCTAGATACTTTTAAAGTATCTAGGGTATCTCCTCCACCTTTTTTTTTCCATTGGAGGGGGGAGGGGTATATGAAAATGAACGTACTTTTTAAGGGGGGTGGGGACTTAAAAGTACACATGGCAACAGGGGGGAGAAAGTTGTCAAATTTCAGAATTTTTGGCGTACGTACTTTATGGACGACCCCAAATGGAAACCACCCTTTAAATTGGTAGCCACCGTTTACGGAAAAAAAATCGCGTTGGGAACGGACTTATAAGTACCATATGGCGTTGAAATTTGTTTTATTTTGGCGACTTTTGTTTGTTTTGATGCGTAATATAAAAACCGCGATATGTTGTAAAGAAATTTCTTTTACTATTTGAACGTGAGAAATCAGGATTATATGGTGCTACAACAACAAGATATTTATTTTTCTTAAAATTTAAAATCATATAATTACAATAAAATAATAATAATAATAATAATAATAATAATAATAATAATAATAATAATAGCAATAATAATTATAATATTAATAATAATAACAACAACAATAATAATAGTAACTATAATAGGAATAAGAACAACTATAATGTTATAAATAATTGTAACAAAAATAATAAGAATAAGAATATCTATGATATTATTAATAATAAAATCAAAATACAATCATTAAGAATAAATAATTGATTGAGGAAGGAGTTAATCATGCAGAATCCTGATCAAAGGAGTGACACCAAATAATTACCTAATTACCTAAAATACTAGTATATTAATGATATTAGTTTAAAAAATAATAATAACAATAAGAACTTTATTCATAAATAAAGCAAAAGTAACAGCAAAAACGTATTTATAATAATTGTAATAATAATAGTAAAAAAATTGTAATGATAATAGTAAAAAAAGTATTTATAATAATTGTAATAATAATAGTAAAAATAAAAACAGCAGTAATAAAGGTAATAAATATTAAAGACAAAACTAATAAAGTTTCTATAGAAATAGTAAGAAAAAAATAACGATAATAAAAAGAAAAGAAAACTAAAGAAAGTTAACATTGATAAATAATTAAAATAATTTTTTTAGAGTTTGTTTAAATTTTTTTTGTTTTAAAAAAATGGAGATTAATTATTTAAAATTTTTAATTTCAAAATTCCATTTATTCCAATCTTTTTATAATCCATGCATTAAGAGGATTGATTCAAAATCATGTGATTAAAAATTATGATTTTTGATTATCCTAGCCATAAAAAAAATTTTATAAGTAAATTTATTTAAAAAAAACTTTCAGTTATTATAGCTATAATTTTTTTAATACAAATTTTCACCATGTGTGCAAATTTTAAATTAGTATTAAAATAATGGATAAAATTAGAATCACCATAGTATACTTATACATAATAATCTAGACAAATTTAATAATTAAATAAGAAAAAACAAAAAGCAGTATAATAATTGTGGTGCCTTTTGCCATCATATGAAACAATCAACCTAACTGAAGTAACACATAAGTCAGTGTCATATTTTACTTCAGTGTCATATTTGTACTTCAATTTACATTTCAGAAACACCATAAGTCATTTTTGTAAAAAAATAACAAAGCACAGAATCATGTTTTATGAGTATGCATGTTACGTAGATGTTAGACATATGAGTCATGTTTTATGAGTATGCATGTTACATAGGTGCTTCTACCCTTAGATGACACGACATCACGATAACACGATATTTTTGTTTGTTTGAAATTGTGTATATTTTTGAAGCCAATATCACTGGTTAACTGCTATCAGCTACAGGAATGAATTGCTAGTATTTAAATTGATTACACAGTGCAAGACTAGTAAATGATTTTCGGTTTATATTATGATTATAAACAGAAAAAAAAGCACAATGATTGAAAATGAATTTTATTGATCCAAGTAATTTAAACATATTGTACCATGAGATTCTAAAACTAAATATTTTCAATGTGAAAAAAATACTCATTAGGTATGAATCCAACTTGATTAGCGTATGTTTTGGTTTCTTAAATATAAAAACATTAAAATTAATTTTTTCCACAAACATTAATTAATATAATTTAAAAATGATAAAATGATTCAATGTCATTTACAATTAAGTTAAGTACAATTTTTTTGTGTAACGTGTCTAACTGTTCTGAATTAATTGATTGAATAGTAATTGATTAAGCTAATTGATTTAGCACAATTATTTTTATATACAAGTAAGTGTTTCATTTTTAATTTTACTGTTTATTTTAAACATCTAAAAGATACATTCTATTATTATAAATGCTCATCAATACAATGTTTGTTGTTAGTTTTGTTAATTTTTGTTGACTCTTTTTTGTTTACTTATTAGCAATACTAAATTATATATTTTATAAAAATATGCATTGATAGCATTATCAATAACAGAGATATATTTTTTATTCATTTAAAATTGGGTAATATTATTGCATTATATTATTATTATTATTGCATTATATTACTGATTATTATAATGGAAAGAGTATATGAAAAGAAAATAATCAAAGAATAATGCTAATTTATAAACTTAAAAAAAATATATTTATGAGTATACTTAGTTGTTGCTTTCAAGACAATAAATGACAACTGAGAATACTGTTAAAAGTTGCATATTTATTATAATTTAAATACAGTTGCATATAGTATATATTCATATTCATAAGTTATTTTATTCATCTGTTTTTTAAATTTAGAGAAGTGAAATGAAAAATGTAATGTTTACCAAATGCTTTGTTTGTATCTTTTTAAATATAGTTATGGCAAAAGAATCTAAAAGTGAAGTTATTTAACTTTTATTATTATTATATACTCAGCAATAAAACTAGAATTGAGCAATAATAAATTAGTAAAAATGTTTATCTAATTTTTTCATTGACAGGTTTTGTAGGTTTGTTAAGTAGTATTATATAATTATATACTTATATAATACTTTCTGCAGTATATACTTATACAACCCTTTTGAATTAGGTTCAGCATTCGGCGATGTTGACATAATTGCCAACCTGAAAGTGTTTGAGGTTGGTAAAAAAATTGTTGACACCATTTCTATGTTTTATGGTATAACCTTTGTATCAAACTTCCAGAACTTCCAGATAGATAAAATTGTCAACGTAAAAGTTAAATTAGTGTTTTAGCTAATTTATAGTAAATCAAAATAATGTCCTTAGATACATATTATACAATGGGTAATATATTTCTTAAGACTCAGTTTTTCAATATAAATATAAATGCATATATATATATATATATATATATTTATATATATATATATATATATATATATATATATATATATATATATATATATATATATATATATATATATAAATATACTAGCAGAGGTGCCCGTGTTGCTGCGCACCAGCAAAACAAATCAAAGTTGCTGGTGTACAAAGAAAACCCACCCATGATAAGACCTTTGTATGAAACTTCTAGAACTTCTAGAAAGATAAAACTGTCAAAGTAAAAATTAAATTAGTGTTTTAGCTAATTTATAGTACTACAAAATAATGTCCTTAGATACATATTATACAATGGATAATATATATCTAATGACTCAGTTTTTCAATATAAATATAAATGTATATATATATATATATATATATATATATATATATATATATATATATATATATATATATATATATATATATATATATATATATATATATATATATATATATATATATATATATATACATACTAGCAGAGGTGCCTGTGTTGCTGGTGTTCGAAGAAAAACCACCCTCCAAAAATCAATTACTTGACTAAAAAACTTTTAATTCTGGGTACTATAAAAAAACTGCTGCAGAGCCTCTTGGTACACAACACTAAAAGTTCTTCCATCCTGGGATTTATATACACCCAGGCTTTCACAGGAAGATGTGCGATTACATGTCTTAATATGGCCACACAAGTTACATTTTGCTATGACGGTTTGACCGCGGCTAATTCAAAAAACATTTTAGAAACGCGCTAAATAAAAATTATTCTAAAAAAGTGAAATTATTTACATCAAAACTTCTAAACATAAACTTCTAAAAATAAATAAACAATTTACTGAAAAAAGTTTTGTTTTTTAAATATAATTGACAGTTGCATATATTTTTTTAATTTAAAACATATAAATTGTTTAAGTGTTCATTTCTAAAATAAACCTTATTAAAAAATAAAAAATTGTTTTGTTTTTATAAACGATGACATTCTACGACTATGTAAGTCTTTTTAACGAATAAGAATGATTAAAGTTAATGCATTTAAAAAGATAAACTTTGTTAAAAAAAAAGTTTTAGAAAACCGTTACAATTTAATAAGTTTGATCTTAAATGCTTTTAAATTATCGAAACGCTTTTAATGAATTAAAAAAAAACACTTCTAATTAATTAAAAAAATTTAAAAAAATATTAATAAAATGTTTTTTTATTTTATTTATATAACCATGTATTTTTTATGAGAAATATTTAACTTTTGAACATTAAATAAATAAAAAATATATAAAAATGTTGAAACAAAGATTGAAATGGTTTTTTAATGCGTAAATTAAATAGACTAAGCATTTTAGTTTGATGAGTTTTGTTTTAGTTGCATTATATATATATTTATTTTTTTGTATTTTTGCTTTAACTAAGTATTTTTTTTATTTTCTCTTTTGTTAAGACTTATTATTTTTTTAAATTTTTTTTTCAGATAAGTTTAGGTAAGTTTTTATAGCCCATTTTTAAATTTTAAAAATATGCCGTGGTCAAATCGTTAAAACATTATTTTTTGTGTGGTCATATAAAGACGCGAAATCGCACGTCTTCCTGTGAAAGCCTGACACCATACACACATAATTTTATATATATTCATACACAATACTCATTTGAAAAGTACATTTCTTTTGTACTAAGTTGACCACCACAAAATAAAAGAACCAAAAATGAACTAGTTATTACCAAAAAATAATATTTCACCACCTGTTCCCTGCAGCAACATGCAAAGAGCAAACCGACCCCTGAACTGACTCCCAGAACTGCAACCCCGCAAATGATGTGTTCACCTCAGTAACCTGGTAAAAACTGAGCTATGCGCAATCTTCAGTGATCCACCCACATTCCCATGGAAGGCTCCTGATGGAGCCAAAGAGCACCACGGAACAATCTGGAAAGCCCCCGAATGCTCTGGAAAGTAATGGAATAGCCACATTGTGCACTGGAATATTCCAGAAAACTCTGGACCCTCCGGAAAATGCTGGCCCACTCCAAAAAAACGTGGAACATTCCAGAAAACTCTGGAAAATGACGAAACAGGCAACAGCAATCCATGGAACATGACAGAAACCAACATAAATCACATCATAGGAAACACTCAAACCGTCCCCCAGACCATTCAAACCTCCAGTGACCCCTTAGGTCACACCCAAGGTCATGGAACAACTCTGCATTTCACAAGGAACACTCTATTTGGCCCCCTCGACCCAGAAATGACCATTTGAAAGCCCCAGCGACCCCAGTCAGCCTCCAGTGACCTCCAAGGTCAACTTGACATAGCCTATGTCATTCCCTGTATAGGGATCATCCATGCCAAATTTCAAGTTTCTAAGACCAACACTCTGGGTGTTAACTGGGAACAAACAATCAAGCAATCAATCAGAATTGACAAATATATAAGATATATATTGTAGTAATTGTGTCAATATTGCTTGTTTAAGAGTGCTCAATACCAAAGTAGAGCAATATATAGTAAAAACTAAATAATTATAGCACTCAAATTATTTAAAACATTACTCAGAGATTTTTTACTATCTTTTAACTTGTCTGTAGTTTAGTTGTTATCTTGTTCTACAAATGTTATCTTTTATTTTCCAGTAACTTCCAAATCTAATATTAATTGCTTGCAGCCTTTTTAAAAAAAAATAATAATAATAATTGTTGCATTGGAATAAGATTTAATAAAGATTGTTATGAGTTAAAATTTACAAAATTAAAAAAATTAAATGTTTTGAGAAATTAACAGAAAAAGATCTAAATCTTGTGCACTTACAATGGAAAGTAAATCATATTCAAACTATTCGCAATCACTATGAATAAAGTCTTCTTAGATAGAATTGTTGTGATCCATTTCACAAACACAAAATTTAATTTAAAGGGGTTTAAAAATTAATTGATTTAATCAATTATTCAAAAGGTAATGGCTTATGTAATGTTACTTTTTAAAATCTGTCATTTAATGTTACTTTTTATACCTAATCATAAGCTTCGTACAGAATGTAAAAAATATGTTGTATTTAAAAAAACAACCAAGAAGATTGTGAAAACGACTTAAGCAACTTAAAGATAATCACTTTAACCAGACATACATTGTTGGCAGTAGTTGCCAGCAGTATTTTAGTAATTTTAGTAGTTTCTGTAGCTAAAACTTAATTTTGAATGTTACATTTAGATTGTACAAATCGAACACCACTTGGAATGAGAAATGGATACATAAAAACCAACCAACTTACAGCTTCATCAATTTATAATGATAAAAACAGTCCAAATATGGGAAGACTAAATAATAGATATTGTTGGTGTACAAGGCCATGGGAATTATCAGGATGGTATCAGGTAAAGTGTTACTATTTAATGCTACTAGTATTAAACTTTAAAATAAAAGTTTCTTAACCTGTTTAACAGCCCCAGACTGCGGGACACTTAAAATACAGCTTAAACTAAGGAAGCTAAACCTAAAAGGTTTAGCTCTTGGTATACCATTGCTTCAATCTGTTGTAAAATATGTAGTGTCAATTTGTGAAGATTTTCTTGGTATTTAAAAATGTGCTGAAAAGTTCTCATACATTATTCCTAAGCAGTACAAGCATGGCAATACAAAAAAGAAGATGCAAAAGTTGTTGAGAATAGAGAAAATGAAGTGGTTGTAAGTGGTAGTGGTAATTTTAAAATTAAATACTTTTAACACTAAAATATAAAGAAGATGCAAAAGTTGTTGAAAAAAGAGAAAATAAAGTTGTTGTAAGTGATAGTGGCAAATTTAAAATTAAATACTTTTAACACTAAAATATAAAGAAGATGCAAAAAATGTTGAGAATAGTGAAAATGAAGTGGTTGTAAGTGCTAGTGGCAAATTTAAAATTAAATACTTTTAACACTAAAATATATGTTTAACAACAGTTGGATAAACTATGTAGCAAAATATAAATTTTGAATATCGTAGTTAATTTTGCCTATGTAAAAGCAAAAAAGTTTCTCTGTGAATAAAAAAGTAGTTTTATGGTTTGCTAAATTCTCTTTAAATATATATAGTGATATACATGGAAAAAGGCTGTGGCTCACTAGTAACAGTTCTTTTAGCAGTACAATGATTACATACAGGTTATCAATAGAGCTGTCTGGTCAGTTAGACATTAAAGAGGTGATTCTAAAAACAGATTATATTTAGCAGAGATGTTCCGTAAGAATCTAAAAGATATCCATATGAGATGTGACAATTTTTGTCTATTGAAGGGGAATGCGGGTGGGGGTGGAAATAGTCATTTGCATAGTGACAATAACATCATTTATTATATTCACTATGTATGTTATAGTCACTAACATTATAGTGACAATAGTATTGGGTATATTAATAATATGTGGCATCTATATGCTTGCTGGTAAAATTATCACTAATGAGGAAAAAAAAAGCTTAAGATAAGTGGTAGAGGTAAGAAAAGTTGGCATAGTGGATATATAGTGATCTTCCATTTTAAGGAATTCATTGTGATCAACAAAAATATTTTGTAGAGCCCAAGATTTTCACCACTTGCACTCTGCCTCATGCTAGTCAATATTGTAATATAATTTATTCTCACTACAATAGCCAAATATACTAAATCACAGCACTTTATTTCTGCTTCAGCATTTACAAAGTTCTTGTTAATGTACTATTATTTGCATATGAGTTACCGAAATAAAAATATATACAAAATATAAAGACATACATATACACATAGGATAAAAATTTTGGTGGTTCAAAAAATCAACAATTTTATAAAATGCTTTAGCACTTACCTAAATGTGTTAAAAAATGTTTGAATGAAATATTTTCAGGTTTGCTTCAAGACTCTTCTGGGTTGCTTGGGGCTGTTCAAATAATACGTGACAGTCTTAGGAGGGGGGGGGGGGGAGTATTAGAAAGTGTCACTAAATGTCACATGGGTGATGAGTATTATAGACATGGAAATAATAAAAAAACAACATTTATTTGAGTGAGTTTGTTGTTAATATTTGAATCTGAGATTGAGATGAATCTAAGATGAGATCTAAGATCTAAGATTGAGATGAATCTGAGATTGAGATGAATCTGAGATTGAGATGAATCTGAGATTGAGATGAATTTGAGATTGAGATGAATCTAAAATTGAGATGAATCGGAGTGGGGAGGATAAAAAAGAATTTTTAAAATGTTATATAAAATATTTTATAAATATATATATTATATTTTTTTATAATATATAAGAACATAATATATTAACTGTCAAATTTATTTTCAAAATCGTTTGTAATATCTTTTCGCTGCATTTGTATAAATATTGTTTTTAGTTCATTCCAAGAAACGCGCCCACAACATTCTTTCCATTTAATAAGCACAGCCATGCATTTTTCTTGCACTCTTCTTTTATCGTAATCAACATTGACAATAAAATGGTCATTCATATTCAAGTATCGCGCAAACGATTGCCAATTAGATGCCATTCTTTGACTTATAAAATCTAAATGGTGGTCGTTTAGAAATAATTCGCCATCTGTTTTTATTACTGGAACATCCTTGCATGTAAAAACAGAATTAAGGTGTGGTCAATGATTTTCAATGTTGGTATTCATTCTTACATTAGAAGTATAAATTAATTTTTGGTTTAATAAAAGGGACAAATCAATTCGACCAATTTCTGTTAAAATGGCAGAGAAATCATCAAGACATGTTTCTGAGATAATACCATGCTGCTCCAAAACTTGCATTAGATCAATGGAACTTTCAATTTTTTCTAAAGTTGCACGCCCTATTTTATCGTCAAACATGTACTTGATCGATTCAACATTGCTTGTGGTGAGCTCTCAGCTTATTTTCATTATTTTGTTTTTGTAATCCATTTGTCTAAAAAAAATTCAAAAAATTATATAAATAATTTAAAAATATCCCATAGGTTTTTCTTGAATTTGCGTCCATTTTTTTTCTAGTTGTTTCGCTTTTTTAAGTTCTTTTTCGTGATCGGAATAATTTCTATATTTTCACAAAACGATACGACTTTTTTGTTTAGTTGTATTAGCGCTAAAATATCACTCATGCTTCAAGTACAAGGACTTGGTTGTACGTAACAAAAATATAAAAATCTGTAAAAACGAGGCAACCAAACACCAAATAACCAGCCTCTTGTCGCAATGAGTAAAAAATTAATCATCCATTTTTTCATCTAAATAAATATGATATATAATTAAAAAAATAATTAATACAATTTGTTATTCACATTTTAAAATAAGAAGTTTGAAACAGCATTTTTCATTTCATTTGACATATTTAACATGTCTGTTTTTTCTTTTAAAAGTTCAAAAAGAAGTTTTCTTTCTAATTCGTACACAATATTTATACAAATGCAGCGAAAAGATATTATAAACGATTTTGAAAATAAATTTGACAGTTAATATATTATGTTCTTATATATTATAAAAAAATATAATATATATATTTATAAAATATTTTATATAACATTTCAAAAATTCTTTTTTATCCTCCCCACTCCGATTCATCTCAATTTTAGATTCATCTCAATCTCAGATTCATCTCAATCTCAGATTCATCTCAATCTTAGATCTTAGATCTCATCTTAGATTCATCTCAATCTCAGATTCAAATATTAACAACAAACTCACTCACATAAATGTTGTTTTTTATTATTTCCATGTCTATAATGGGTGAGGGGGTGGTTTGCCTCAGTGTGAGGTGACAAAAAACATTTTAAATTAAATTGTTTATCACTGCGTAATTAAATTAGTTTATATTGCAAACTCGGAGGTATTTATATATAATACTGATTTCGAGAAAAATTTTATGCAAGGACTTCACAAATAGCGGGCGTTTTTTGTTTAACTGTCAATTAACAAGAATTTTTGTTTTTGTTAAATGATTGGATTTGATTAATTTATATTTACTCCGTACAAAATTATTTTTGTGGAAATTGTACGCATAAAAATAAATTCTAATCCTACGATCATAGAACTAGATAGTGGGCAAGTATTTAAAAATGATTTATATTACTATCAAAAATCATATTTTATTTTTTTAACACTATTTATATTAATAGACTAAAAAATTAAGTGTTATTTTTGCTTAAAATTAGGTCTTCAAATATAATAGATAATCAATATTATTATCTATTTTCAATGTTATTATTAGTATTACTTTTAATATTTTGTGTCACTTTATTGCAAATAATTGGTCTAATTACTTTATTATTTTATTATTACGTTGTTATTTTATATTTATATTTTTATTATTCATTAAGTTAGCTAGTTTGTTAACGAATTTTAGTATTAATAATACTATTGTTAACATTAATTCACAATGTGCTTGTTTTTAATTAATGGTTGTTAGGAAAATAAATTTATTGTCGTTGTTGTTATAGAATAAAAATGTCTAGTGAAAAGGAACAACTTTACAAATCTATTTATGAAGGATATTTAAAAGCATTTACAAACAAAATTAAAAGCATTTACAAAGCAAAAGTCTCAAGAAGAAACAAATAAAATCTGGTCTGAGATCAAAACAAAGAGCAAAACATTACTCGATATAAATGAAGAAGTTGAAAAAAAATTGAAAGAACTAAAGCAAATTGAACTTCGAAATAAAGTTGGTATTTTATCTTACTGGACAAAATTATAAAACTATACACCAAAAAAGCTTATGATTGAATCTAAAATCACTTTTGATGACTTGACTGATGCAACCCCATCAATTACAAATAGTGAAGACAGTGAAAAAAAACCCCATCAATTACAAATAGTGAAGCAAAACAATTTTTCTCAAGACAATTACAAAAAAGTTTCCCAAAGGATTGCCATACGACTACTCTTGTCTAAGCATTCAAAGTTCCTTACCAAAAAGAATTTGTACCAATTGTAGTCTATATTTTGCCACTATCAAATCAATGAAACAGCACAAAACAGTTTGCTCAAGTATTGGATCATCAAATGAGATTCAAAAAGTTAAACCTCATCACCTAGTTGCTCAACGTCTATCTGAACTCATGTGTGTGTCTTTTTAAATTCAGACAAAGAAACAAAGAAACAATTAAATGGCATGATCAGGACGATGTTGATACCTCTGATCTCAACTGGCCTTCAATAATTATTGAAGAGCATGGAACTCCAATACTTGAAGGTCAAAGTCCAATTTGGGAACAAATTTAGGACATGTTTCTTAAACAGAAACATGTCAATTTATATGTATATATATATATATAAATATATATATATATATATATATATATATATATATATATATATATATGTATATATATATATATATAAATATATATATATATATATATATATATATATATATATATATATATATATATATATATATATATAATTCGTATAATTTGCAATCTTTCAAGTTGTCTGTTAATTGTTATCTTGCTCTTTAGACTTTATCTTTTCTCTTCCAGTAAATTCCAACTCTATTAGTGGTTGCTTGCATATGTATATATATATATATATATATATATATATATATATATATATATATATATATATATATATATATATATATATATATATATATATATATATATATATATATATATATATATATATCTGTGTGTGTGCATGTGTTGGTATTTAACCCATTTTTGCTTGATTTATCTCTATAATATTTGGTTACTTTTGGCAACTTGACAAAAAAAAAGTTATTATTATTTTTTGATAAAATTATGTTAAGCATAAGTTGAGAAAAACTAAAGATAAAGAAATATTTTGATTATTGCATTTCATTTTTATAAAAATATGATATAATGATTGAATTATATAAAATCAATGATATAATTATCATTGCATATACTATTATTATAAAAATATATTAGTATATATTTGCTTGCTGCAATTACAATTACTTGTTTTGTTCAAATTTGTTTTTTATGTTTAGGTTCAGTTTGAAAACATAACAACTGTTAGTGGTATTGCACTTCAAGATTGTGGAGATAAGTGGTCGAATAACATAAACAAGTTTTTTTTTAATTATTCTCTCACAAAAAATGGAAACTTTAATAATGGCCAGGTTTTGATACATTTTTATTATAATTTTTAAGTCAGCTTATTAGAGTATTAAAGTTTATGAAGATTTTTTCGTATTTTTATAACATGTTTTTAAACTTTTACTTATTTTTAAATCTTATTTCAATTATGATTATCATTACAAAAAAGCATACTTTAGATGTGATGACCAGTTTATGATATCTTTTTGATGGAAAAGTTATTTGTTTAATTTGGGTTTATTCATCAAATATTTCATTATGGCAGATATTGTTTTTTTATTCATTAAATTTTCTTATTCGTCAATTTTTTAAAGAGGAATAACACAAAAAGAGTATTTTTTTTGATGTGTTACAATCAAAACAAAATATATTTTTTTTGTGTTAATAATAAAACAATCAAACATAAATTTCTATACAGAATACATATTTTTATAAATAGTTTTATTTATAAAAGTAGATTTGATTACATTGTTTCAAATTCAATATTGCTTTCATCATCTTTTATAAGTGCTTTACAATAAAATTGTTTATGCAAAGTAAAAATGCAAGTCTTGAAGCTGGACAGTTTGTTTTGTAAAAAAGTACACAAGTGCGCATTTAATAGACTGTAAATACAAGAAGCCCCGAGGGAATGTATAAAAACAAAATAATTTCAAAGAATAATAAAATTTGACATTTAACCTTAATAAATTTTAATTACTTTTATTTGATTCAGTAAATTTTAATATCACATCATATCATTTCGTACACTGATCAAAATTATCAAAGAAAAACTGAACAGAATAGGCTATGAAAAAAATAAAAATAGATTCGAATACAGAATTACTTCCTCTATTCGAATTGATAAAATTATACATTGACTCAACTCTGTTTTCTCTTTTTTCATACAGCTTTAACAGGAAATTAAATTTTTTTATATATTTTACCAATGTTTTTATAAGTATGAAAACAAAATAGCTCTAGAACCCAAACTGATATAAAAATAATTTCAGAACTATCTTGTTAAAAGTCTAAATTCCATTCTGCTGGTATAATTTTTATGCAGCTAGAACAAAAAATAGTATAAAAAATCATAAAAGTAAAAAAAACTCTTTTCTAATAAAACCCCACATTCAATTAATTACAAGTTTAGTTTTTTGCAAGTGACTAAGTGCCTATCTTTATCTAATTAACATAGTGCTAACTTAATAACAATGACAAATATCATAATAAATCATTTTAATTAAAAATGAATTAATTTTTTAACTAAAAATGAATTATTATGGGTATTTTGCACCGTCATGTGTGATAAACAAAACTAAAAGAAACTTTCGTCTTGACTGGGCAAGAGGTGTTCCAGTTGGCACCAAAGATTCGATTTCAAAATCAGGTTGAATCTATCTATGATACATTTATTGAATGACTGAAACAAATTGTTTTTACTTGAAACTGAGCAAATTGGTGGTATTCATATTTTAGTACTAGATGGGCATACAAATCACATTACTTTGGAAGCAGTATTGGAAAAAACACAATATAATTTTAATTTGTTTTCCGAAACATTTTTCATAAATTCTACACCCATTGGATAGAAGTGTCTAATACTATGTCAAAAACAATGCTGAGCAACCACAGCAAAACAATAATAAAGAACAAGCACCTTAAAAATTAAATATTTTCTCAAATGTAAGGTTTCAACGGGATGTCACCTAAAACTGCACTTTTTTTTTTTTTTTAACAATTTGATTACTTTTTTTAAATATATATATTTAAATTATCTTATGTAGTTTTTTTAATCATCTATAAAATTAAAAAAAAAATTAAAAACTTAAAAAGTTAATTTTTATTGATATGTAAGCAGTTTGACCCAGTTTTATTCTATGGTAAAAGTATATTTTATTTATGTTTTAAGTAAATAACGTTATATACTATTGTGATGCATTAAAGACAAAGCTAAATTGTGTGCTAAGAACATTTCATTGATCTCATCTCTTTTATCCACTAACCACATTCTACCTGATATAGCCCACAAACAGGTTGATCTATTGTTTGACATTAGTATCACTCCAGCTTCTGAATCAAAAGTGATTTTCTGCTTAGACTCTTCCACAGCTTGTAGTCTTTTCTACAGCTTGTGGTTTGGACAACATAAATGCTATAGTCTTTTAGAAGTGTTTTCTGGAGCTGTTGTCTATATTTTTAAAACTATTTAACAAGTGCTAATCTGAATATTTGTTTTCCAGCCTGCTAAAAAGGCAGCATCTGTTACTTCTATTTTCAAAAATTCTGAAGAATGGTCTGACTTGTTTAACTACCGTCCCATTAGTCTTCTTCTTATCATAAGCAAAGTTTTTGAGTCTTTAATTAACAAACACTTAATTTCTCATCTTGAATCTAATAACTTTTTGATTATCAATATGGATTTCGATCTTCTTGTTCTACTGCTGATTTGTTAACGGTAATAACTGATAGGTTTTATTGTGCATTTGATAGATACGGAGAGGTTAAGGCTATTGCTTTATACATCACTAAAGCCATTGATTAAGTTTGGCATGCTGGTCATCTCCATATGCTGTTCATATGTCTTCTTATCAGGTAACATAAAGTTTATTGAATCCTTCCTTACTAATCGTAGTCTAAAAGTTTTTTCTCAATAGACAGCACTCTTCTTCATTTTCTATAACTTCAGGAGTTCCTCCTAAAGTTCGATCCTAGGCCCTATACTTTTTTAAATTTACATTAACGATCTCCCAGTAATTCTCTTATCTAAGGTGGCATTGTACGCTGACGATACTGCCATTTATTCTTGTCTTGGTAAGAAGCCAACACTCCCCAATTGTTTGGAGGGGGCATTTGAACTTGAAAAGGATCTCACTTCTGCTTCAGCATATAGCTCTCAGTGGATGGTAAGCTTTAACTCAGATGAATCTCAATTTTCCTCTGCTAATTGTTATTGAAAGAATCTAGATCTTCTTGTATTTATAAATGGAAGTGTACTCAATGAGTCATCTAACAACAATTGTCTTCTAGAATTAACTCTTACTTTCAATCTTTTTTAAACATCATATATCAAATTCATTCCAAAGTTAGTACCTGCTAAGGTTGCATCTCTTTATTGTGCTTGCCACTTTCTTACTTCAGATTCTATTCTTTATCTCAAATTAATCTTTGTATAGAATACTGTTGCCATATCTGGATCTTCAAATGATGCCCTTTTTTCTTTTAGACAAGGTACAAAAATGCATTGTAAACATAGTTGGACCTGCTCTTGCAACCAACCTTCAACCATTGTTACATGTTTGTAATGTGGCTTCTCTTTCTCTTTTATATAAATACTATAATGGGTGCTGCTCTAAAGAGCTAGCGTCTCTTGTGCCATCTACTTAAATTCATTTTTGTATTACTTGTCATTCAATTAAGTGTCATTCATTTGTTTTGACTGTTCTTAAGTGCTCCAAAAATTTTTATTTGACTAATTTTTTACCTTGGACATCAGTTCTTTGAAATTCACTCCCTTCTTCTTGTTTTTCTGATTCATATAATGTGTAATCTTTTAAATTATCTGTAAATGGTTATCTTGCTTTATAAACTTCATCTTCTCACTTCTAGTAACTTTTATTTCTAATAGTAGGTGCTTGCAGTTTTGTTGGAGGTGAAAAGGTTAAAAATGAAAAGAGTTGTTTATATTTATAGTGAATGAAAATTAAAATACTAACAAATACGCTTATTAAAGGCTTATGTTCTGTATTTGAATAGTTATTATCTACATAATATGTTAAGTTATATTTAAATAATAGTTATTCCACTTAAAGACATAAGTGCTTAATAAGTATTATTACCATTTTTTTAATTTTGCAAATACCACACTATTTGAAATTATCGAATAAAGTTTTTTAAAAGTATTTTACACATTTAATAACTACTAATATTAAAATCACTAAAATGTAGTTGCAATATGTTTAAAATACTTTGAACAATTTTCAATTAATATTTACAAATTTACAAAGCTAATATTTACAAAGTTAATATTTACAAAGTTAATATTTGCAATTTAAAAGTTTATTAAAAAATTACTAAAGTAACTAATATAAGTCCAATGCTGAATAATGTATTCAAAGATATGCCTTTTACAACAAGGTACTATTTTAAATCAACTCTTTATCTTCTGATAAAATAAAACCAGTTGAGAATAAACAAAGTGAAATTTAAAAATATTTGTCATGGTAGCTTTTTCAACTGAAAAGGGAGGTGGGGGAGAGGCTACCCCATAAACATCTAAGAAACATTATTCCTTACATCTCCAAAAAAATATGGTACTATACATGAAATACTATACAAAAAAATTATTGTTATGAGCGCGTGTATCTAGTTTTCAAGTTTATGGTTGCTTAATAGATATTTATTTTTTGACAACATTTGGAAATCAACTGTTTTTTTTTAATTCAGTTGCTCTTAGGCATTTTTATAAAGTAAAATTATTACTTTTTCATATAAACAAAGTAAAAGTTTTGTTGTTGTGTTGTTGTAAGCAGGGGCTTTTTTTAGAATTGACTAACTTATGTCTTTCTTTGAGTTCTTCCCTAGTTTCCCATATATATTTTGAGAATTAATAATTTAATAATAATAAAATAAAAATTTTTACTTTTAAATGATTGTTTATGAATTGACACACATGGAATTGACAGTCAATTGTCAATTTTTTTCATGCAGTTAAAATTTTTATTTTTCTCTTTTTTATTTTTTCATCTAAAGAATTTATGATCAAAATGAAACACATAAAAATTTAATAAAATATTTATGGCTTTAAATATAAATTTAATTAATCAATTAATAAAATAATTAGTTAAAAATTAACGAACTTGTATTCTTTTTAAAGGAATAATTTTGAATAAAATCAATTCAATTTTAAAATTTAAACTCGCAAATAATTAATGTTCAAATAACCTGCTAATATTTGAAATTGTTTAAAATAACGCTCGCGAACACAGACTTTCATTTGATTAAAAAAAGAAGTTTGATAATATTTGAGTATTTGTTGAATTTTTTATTATATCAAAACAAATTTTATACAATATATTAAAAAAAATTTAAAGTGAATACTTAATACTAAAAAAAATACTATTAAAAAAATTAAAGCGTTGTTTGTCTCTTTTAATTTGCCTCAGAATGGTTGACGTTTGATGATTCTAATACAATTCAATAATAAAAAGAAGAAAATATTTGTGTAAACTTGGAGTTATTAATTTTGAATTTATTTTAAAAAAATTTATTTGTTGCAAAAAGCTGCAAGAAAAATTAATGAAAAGATTTAAGAATTAAAAAAAAAAAAGTACAGTTGGAAGAGTAAGAGTTCTTACTTTCATATAAAAATTTAAAATAATTTTATCTCTAACTTTAATAAGTAATTATTGTATCAAAAGTTTTAATGATTTAGATTTCAGTTAGCAAATTTGGACTTTCTGTAGACCGGTCAGTCAGCAAATTTCAAAAAATGAGAACTTTTTTTTTTATATGTATCTAGTTGGCAAAAATTTTAGTGGCACCAATTCCGTTTCCTTCCTCCTACATGACACATACTTGCTTTCAATTTTAAAATATTAAATTTTTTACTATTTGAACTTGATACTTAATACTAAGAAGGCAGTTGTTTTATGAATCACTACTTCAAAAAATTACTTGTGTTACATAAAACAAGATTTTACAACATATTTTTAAGAATCCTATTATAGAAAGTTTTAAATTTACTCATAAATCATTCTTACATTTATTACATTTGCAGCAAAAACTTACAAGAAAATAAATAAAAGGGTTTAAAGAAAGAAAAAAAAAAAGACTTAGTACAATTAAAAGAAAAATTGTTCTCAGTTAAATACAGAAAATATTATATATTTTTATATTATTATAGAAATAATATATTAAATATTTTTATTAAAACAGTAAAATAAGAATCACCTATAAAAAATCATTTATGAAAAAGAGGTTTGTAACCACCAGTAAAATAAAAATAAATTAAGTAAAAAAAAAAAAATGTTTTATATTACGTCATAAGTTCGTCGATGAAGTAAATTAAAGTAGCAAGTCATAAATAATAAAACTATTTCGAACACTTATACAGTCTTCTCCGTTTGATGAGTGCTTTTGCGCTCTTGCAGTTTTGCGCTCGCCCACACGCCCGCAAATACTACGGCTTGCAGTTTTTTTAGCGCTTGCCAAAAAATTTCAAGTGTGTTTTTAAATTGCAACAAATCTTTTTTCTTAATCAAGTTCTAATTAAAGAGGTACAAAATACAAATATTTTTTAAAATCACGCATGCCGGACAAATAATTACTGTCCAGCCAGCGCTTTTTCGTGCGCTGGGGGTAAATTTTAAATGGAGAAGACTGCTTATATAAAATTTAAATGATTCTATAAAATTTTAGTATGTGTGTTTTCCAAATTACATCATGATTATTAGTAAAACCTTGTTTTTCAAAAATCTATTTTTTTTAACAGTCAAATATTAGAAAGAATTCATTTTGGAGGTCAAAATAGCAATTTTATTCACAAATCTTTCATACACAATTTTATATACAAGTATATAAACATTTTTGAATATGTCTTTATATATTTAAATGTATATAGATATTTTTAAATTATAATAATATTAATCAGATTTAAATTTTTTTTTTTTTGTAGATACTTGATGGTGTAAGTAATAACACTGAAGTGGTGTACCGATGGTTTTCATATCCTATTAATGCTCTACGTATTAGAATCTTTCCTCTTGCTCGTGGAGAAAATAATTATACATGCCTTCGAATTGAATTATTTGGTTGTTTAAGTAGTGAGTTTTTGTTTAATGTATTTTGTTTGACTTTATGGTGACATGCATCTTAATTTAGGTTTTAAAGTTTACCTAAAGTTTCTTAAATAATTTTTATAGTAAAGAGTTACCTGACTGTTCCTATGTTAAAAAACATATTAAGAAAGCAATAGTATTTAAATTTTACTCTGGCATGATTCTAGCAAGCTTAACCCATCAGGGTTAACAGAGGTATGCACTGAAGTTAATTTAGAGATGGCAGACCAAATAAGATCATTTTATATAAAAGAATATATTAGAAGATTTTGTGGTTTAAGGTTTTTTTATTCAAAATTAAAAAAAAAAGTAATTTTATTTGAAATTTTAATGAGTTTTGTAGTTTACATTAGAGTATTATATTTTGTCAAATCATCCAAGGATTAAATAAGAATTTTCTTATTGTGAAAATTATTTTATATATTACCAAAAATTGCTGACCTCGTTTCTATGTTTTATGGTAAGACCTTTGAGGTCGTCAAATTATTGCGACCTCCTTTTTCCTAATTTCAAGGGTTGTATATATATATATATATATATATATATATATATATATATATATATATATATATATATATATATATATATATTTATATTTATATTTATTTATTTAAGTAATATATATGTATATATATTGCAAAAAAGTTGCAAAGAACCAATCCTGTATGGCATGATGCATTATCGTGATGAAGGAACCAAGAGTTGTTCGCCCATAAAATTCAGCCGTTTCATACTAATAGCTTCATGCAACTGATGCATAACGCTCAAATAATATTATTTGTTAACAATTTGGCCCAGCAGAAGGATATTGATAGAAGGATAGTGCACCACACCACGACAATTAAAGGAAACTTTCAACATGACCTTGATTTTTGATCAACTTTGCCACGCTCTTTTTGGTCTTGCTTCACCTTTTGCATGACATTTGCTGAATTGGTCGGTGGTTTCAGGGCTGTATGCATAAATCCAAGTCTTGTCTCCAGTAATAATGTATTTCAAGTGGTTCTGATAGTCAGACAACAAAGTTTCACACACATTAACGAGACGCATTTTGTTCGAAAAATTGAATTATTTCAGCACCAATCGAGACTTTGTAACGCAACGCTTTTTATTCCGAAAATTGAGCAATTCTGGCACCAATC